ACAAACAGCATTAAAAATCTCACTGTGTGTGTTTCAGTGGCCAAGCCTGCCCACCAGCCGAAGAGCCGGTGCATGACTAAACACCAAGGCTCACGGAACGCTGTTACCTTCCCACCGAAGTGGTACCTATTTAAAAAGGTAAAGGTTCCCTTGCTCGAAAGCCAGTTGAGTCCGACTCTAGGGTTGCGGTGCTCATCTCCGTTTCAAAGCCGAAGACCCAGCGCTGTCCGAAGACGTTTCCGTGGTCATGTGGCCGGCATGACTAAACACCAAGGCGCACGGAACGCTGTTACCTTCCCACCAAAGTGGTACCTATTTATCTACTTGCAATTTCTTGCTTTCGAACTGCTAGGTTGGCAGGAGCTGGGGCCAGAGATGGGAGCTCACTCCGTTACGCGGCACTCGGGTCTCGAACTGCCGAACTACAGACCTTCCGGTCTGCAGCTCAGCATCTTAACCTCTGAGCCGCCGTGGCCCCCCAAATGGAAAAATCCAGTGGTTGCTGGTCTCCCTGGTGAGGTGTAGTGCTGAAGCGAGGTGGACTCTAATCTGGAGAACCGGGTTTGATTCCCCTTTCTGGGTGGCCTTGGGCCAGTCCCAGTTCTCTCTCTGAGCTCTCTCAGCCCCACCTACCTCACAAGGTGCCTGTTGTGGGGAGGGGAAGGGAAAGGAGTTTGCAAGCCACTGTAAGATTCCTTAAGGTAGAGAAAAAGGGAGTGCAAAAACCTACTCTTCTAATCTTCTTCTTCTCCCTGGTTCCTAAAACGGATGCTGAATTTTAAGAGATACATGGATGTTTTCTTGGCTCTGTCTACGCAGTTTGGCTCCAAGGAGTTGGACGTGCCAATGTGGGGCAGCCCTATAAATCCTTCCCCCTGAGCATGCCACAAGAAACCGCCTGGCATCCGAGCCCCGTGACAGGGAGTGGGAGAGCCAGAGCTCGGACCTCACCAGGTCTCTGGGCAGCAGATCCAAAGAACTGGGCACAGGACACAGAAGCCGAGCCCTGGGAGGGGAACCAGAGTGAGGAACGAGCTCTAAGGGTGGAACCCTCAGCCACCCATGCCGAGCGAGGAGAGAGGCGTGGCACCCTGGCGGCAGGTCCTTCCAAGGGGCAGCCCTCCCAAGTCTGCCCTCCCACCTGCGTGCCCCTTTCTGATCAAACTGGGAGGCAACAGTGGAAACGGGTGGCTGCGTGGGCCAGTTTGGTGTAGTGCTGGGGTGGCCAAACTTGACTAACATAAGAGCCCCATAGAATAAACATCAGATGTTTGAGAGCCACAAGACATGAACAGATATTACATGTTTTTACTGGGAAATATGCAAATTTGGTTTTTATTAACATTAAATGAGACTGCCAAAAATAATAACAAAAGCGGTAAAAGCAGATATTGATAATGATATTTATTTGTCCAATGATATTTGTTTGCTAATGATAATTAGCTTCTCCAGCCGCCCTGCCAGGAGCCGCACAATATGTGTGAATGGTGGCTCCCGAGCCACAGTTTGGCCACCCCTGGTGTAGTGGTTAAGTGTGGGGACTCTAATCTGGGAGAACCGGGTTTGATTCCCCACTCCTCCTCCACGTGCACCTGGCTGGATGACCTTGGGCAAGCCATAGTTCTGACAAGAGCTGTCCTTGAAAAAAGAGCCGTTTTTGTCAAGAGCTCTCTCAGCCCCACCCACCTCACAGGATGTCTGTTGTGGGGAGGGGAAGGGAAAGGAGACTGTAAGCCGCTCTGAGACTCCTTTGGGTAGTGAAGGGCGAGCTATAAACCCAATCTCCTCTTCTCTTCTTCTCTTCTTTATACTGTTGCTCCGCTCGGTCATGTCGAACTCCTCCTCCACCCGAAATGGCCCTTCTCGAAGGCGAGACGGGGCAGGATGCCGGGCTGGGATGGCCCCTCGGCCGGGTCCAGCAAGGCAGTTCTGACGTTCTTGCCTTTCGTAGCGAGAGGCAGAGGAGCAGGTGGGGCCTGGCCTGGGCTCCGGCCGTGCGCACCCCAGCGTGGCATTGCCTGCTGCCCCCACGGGCTGCTTGCCATCAGCTCCCTTCTCTCTCACAACCACACACAGCCACTCAACAGTCCCCAGAAGCGGAGCGCAGGCTGGGAGAGGCTGGTGTGAGTGAAGCATTTATGCCCACCCCCTCTTGCGTATGAATGTGTGGTCCCAGGGGGGCCTTAGTGAGACCCAGCGGGGGTGGGCAGCAGTGACGAGGGTGTTGGATTGGGACCTGGGAGACCCGGTTTCAAGGCCCCCCCCATGCCAGGAGACTCACTAAGGGACCATGGGCTAGTCACTGACTGTCTGGCCTACCTTGCAAGGCTGTTGTGAGAGGAAGGGGGAGAAGTTCGCATTCCACCCTGAGCTCTTTGGCAGACGGCTGGAGGAAAACTAGTAAATAGCTAATTGATATAGATGAAAGGATGGGACCTCTGTCACCACACTGATCGCCAGGGTTGATTCAGCGGATCCGGCTGGCTAGCCTCCCTCACCGCTCCATATGCCTCCCTCCCGAAGCAGGACGACCATCCCAGATAGAAGGGGTGTACCATTCTTCGATACAGATGAAATGGGGGTAATGCTGATGCAGGGTGGGGGGATCCATTTGCAGAGGGGGGAGGGTGGCAGGTAGAATGGGATGCTGACCCCCCCCCATGCACACTCTTCATTTCCCCCCCCAGCCAGCGTCAGGGACTAGAAATTAGCCCAGCTTTGGGGGGGGGGGTGAGCCAGAGGATGGGTGGGGGCAGTGTTCCCTCCAAGCTGAGTGAGTGTGAGCTAGCTCACAGTTATTTAGCCTCCTGCTCACAGGATGACTCCAGAGCAAACTAATTTATGTAGGAGCCAAATCGCTTGCTCATAACTTTAATGCCGGTAGCTCACAAATTAGAATTTCTTCTCACAAGACGCCACAGCTTAGCTGGTGGGGGGTGAAGCCCCCATAGATACCTCCCGCTCCTACTTGCAATGGGCACAGTGACTGAACATCAGAACAGGAGAGAAGCCAATGTTGGATCAGGCCAGTGGCCCATCCAGTCCAACACTCTGTGTCACACAGTGGCCAGAAATACCAGGTGCCCTCAGGAGGTCCAGCAGTGGGGCCAGGCCACTAGAAGCCCCTCCCACTGGTGCCCTGTTCCCATTCCACCACAGGTCTCTCTCTCTCTCTCTGGCTCTTGATTTTCAGCCTGCAGTTCCCCCTCCCTCCCTCCCCCCTCCCTCCCTGTCTGTTTCTGCCCATGATGGCAACACAAACTCTCGTTCCTGGATTTGTGTGTGTGTGTGTGTGTGTGTTTGTGTGTGGGGGATTCCAAGAGCTTTTCGTTTGGTCACCGGTGCTGCAAGGACCAGAATGATCCGGGCCCCAGGAAGAGCCAAGTGGCTGGTTGCCATTGGCTGGACTGGAATTCAAGACACTTGACAGGCAGGGGGAACGGCTTTTCAGAGTTTGGTCTTTTAGCTGGTTTAGAAGTTGGCGGGGTTGAAGTGACGGGGTTGACTCAATGCGCTGTAGAGGTCCCAGTGCTGGGCTAGGATCTGCGGAGCACAGGTTCAAATCCTCACTTCTGCCATGGAAGCTCCCTGGGTGACCTCCAGCCTGTTGCCCTCTCTCTTGCACAGCCTGGCCTCCCTCACAGGGCTGGTGTGTGGATACGATGGGGGAGGGGAGAGGGGGAGGCACACTACCGGGAGCGCCTCGGAAGGAGGAGGCCTGGGATTTTTTAAAGAGTGCTAAACAAACTGGCAGGTGTTTTTAATGTGCGCCTCTTCAGTAAAGTGTTCGTTTTTATAGGGTCATTAAAAAAAAAATCACACAGCCATTATTCACTTGTTGTTTGGAAGAAGGAAATGCTCACGATGCCTGCGAAGTAGCAGCTGTTTTGTGGCTATTGTGGGTAAATCAGCACCAAAGGATCCACAGCATACTGAGAGCCAGCGCGGTGTCGTGGTTAAGAGCGGCGGACTCTTATCTGGAGAGCCGGGTTTGAGTCCCCCACTCCTCCTCCACGTGCAGCCAGCTGGGTGACCTTGGGCCAGTCACAGTTCTCTCGGAGCTCTATCAGCCCCACCTACCCCACAAGGTGCCGGTTGTGTGGAGAGAAAGGGAAGGCGGTGGTAAAGATCGAGGAACCCGCTATAAGAAGAGCGGATTGTGTAACGGTAGCTATCGGGAATTAATGTTACTAGCACTTAGTGAGTTGTATAGCTTAAATGATTTTAGTATTGTTTTACTTTAAATTGTTCATGTTTTATTGTGAATTATGTATTGATTTTATGTAAGCCGCCCTGAGCCGGCCTTGGCTGGGAGGGCGGGATAAATATTTAATAAATAAATAAACCACTCTGTGACACCCTGAGTGAAGGGCAGGGTATAAATCCAATTCTTCTTCTTCTTCTTTCTTCTTCTTCTTTCTTCTTCCTTCTTCTTCTTCCTTCTTCTTCTTCCTTCTTCTTTCTTCTTCTTCTTTCTTCTTCTTTCTTCTTCTTCTTCTTCTTCTTCTTCTTCTTCCTCCTCCTCCTCCTCCTCCTCCTTCTTCTTCCCTGAAGTGCAATCTAGCTGCTGAAAGCCACAGGAGCCTTCTCTGGATTGGGACCATAGCATTGGGAAAGGGGAGGGGCTGACCTCACCCCTGCACTGTTTGCTTGATGCATTGGAAATGTCACACACAACCCCACCCCACCCCCGGCAGCTTTAAGCCCTGATAGGGAAAAGACTTGTACAGTATGGCAAACAGACTTTCCCCTCTACGAGGTCTCAAAGCAACTGGGGGCAGGGGAGTTTTTCCAACAGGGAAATGACACAGGAGGAGGAGCTCACCTAACTTTCCCCCTGGGCCTTGGTCCCCCTCCATGTTGCCCCCCCACACACACACACTTTGCAGCTAAATTCCACGTGGTTGAATCCAGTCGTGGCTACGCAGCCACGTGCACAGTGTGGCCCGCTGGGGTTCTCTGGTTTGACCGAAGTGTTTCCTCCTGGTCTTGTTTGGCAGGTGAAGCAAATCATGGAGGAATCCGTCACCAGGAAGTTCGTGCATGAAGACAGCAGCCACATCATCTCTTTCTGCGGTGAGCCAGCTTGGGGAGGGGGGTGGTGGCACTGGGGTTTCCTTGGCTCTCCCAGCACAAGGAGCTCCTCCGGGTCTGGCCCTCTTCTGAAGTCCGGCCAGCTCGTTCATTGCATTCAGGCTGTGGCCCTTCAGTTATTGGGACGGAAACGAACCCCGGTCTGTTCCGGCATTGTGACTAATGACTGGAGTTGGCTGAGGACTTCCATCTTGGCACGAAGGCAGAAAGGGGCGTAGGTGCCAGCCCAAATATAAACCCACTTTGCGCCAGCCGTGATCAGCAGAGATTTGCTTTTGACAGCTGAATGCCACCTGGGCATTGGAGAGCCGCTTGAGACCCTGCGTGCCTGCCAACGCCTTGGAATTGGTTTCTTCTCCGCACACGGGGATTCTTCCCGAGGGTTCCGTCCTGGCTAAGAACCAGGAAACAAGCCAGCCTCGGTTGGTCAAAGTGCCCGTGTTTGGACTTCACACGCAGCTGGAGTGCCTTGAAGACCTCTGTCTTCAGTCTTGGCATTCTGCACAAGGGGACGATGGGAGGGGGAGGAGGGAGGGCGGAGCCTCTGAACCTGACAATTAAGCAGGCCTGGGTCCACGATGAGCAAACTTGGAATGCAGCACCGGTGACCTGCAGGCAGGCAGGATGGTTCCCCTCCCTGGCTGGCATCCCTGGCAGTGCCAGGCTGCTTGGCATTAGGTATGCACTGCAAACATTTCTGTTTGAATTTCAGGTTTGGGTTTTCCACGGGGCATGCTTTTCATTGTGCTGGAATTTGGGAAATGGCTGCCAGACCTCTGGGCCAACCTGCGATCTCCTGGCTGCCAACTGTGGCTTTGAGAGGCTTTGGAAGCCTTTTTGAGACTCCAGAATTCTTTTTGGTTTTTATTGGTTTTTATTCGGGTATACCCAAGCTGGGCTGGAGTGGCCAATTTTTCAGCTGTGTTTTCAGCTTGCTGTATGAAACCCCTTACCTGGCATCTGGCCTGGCTCATTGTGGTCCTGGGAAAGAAGAGGAATAGGTTATGGACATAGTCAGGGGTCATTTCGTAGAAAAAGAGGTGCAGGGGCTCATTAGCATAACTCATTAGCATAACTTATTTGCATATGCCATGCTCCCTGACCACCGGAAGTGTATCAGAAGGCAACACCCACCGCTCAGGCTCCACTGGACTATTTTGGATTGCTAGCTATTGGGGGGGGGAACATGCAGATCTGTCCTCGCAGAGGTGGGAGAGCTTGTACCCAAATAAAACTTGGTCTTAAAGGTGCCACTGGACTGTTTTGGGCCGGGGGGCGGGGGGGGGACTGCAACTTACCTGGCTGCTTCTTGCTCTGACTGAGGGCTGCTGGGAGCAGGGGGTGGGGCTTGTTGCATGTGCCCGCCCCCTGGGCTCTTTACTGCCGGAGCTCCGCTCCTGTGCGCTCCTGCAGGAAATGACCCCTGGACATAGTGATGGGGAGTTCCAGACACAGGCTTCTTGCCGTGCCGTCCCTGGGACCAGCGCTTCCTGTTGGGTTCTTAACCTTTCCTGGTGGTCAGGAAGCCACTCCTCTGCCACAAAACGCCCTCTGCTCTTCCTCTCCCCACAGCGGCAGTTGAGGCCTGTGTCCTCCACGGGCTCAGGCGCCGGGCAGCCGGTTTCCTGCGCAGCAACAAGATTGCAGCTTTGTTCATGAAGGTGGGGAAGAGCTTCCCTCCTGCCGAAGAGCTTTCTCGGAAGGTGCAGGACCTGGAGCAGCTCATCGAGAATGCGTGAGTGGAGGGGGGCTGGAGCTCCGGTTAGGTGGAAGCTTTGCGGGTGGTCCAGAGTCTTGCTAAAGTGAGAATGTGAAGTTTGTAGGCAGAAATATCACATTTCTGGAAATTTTGAAGCTGTGGGACGGGGAATACTTGGGGCCAGAATGTTAGGGAAAATTGAAATAGATGCAGTATTTACTTTCTTATCAAGCCAAAACGTCTAGCAGCAGCAAAGAGCAGGCGTCCAGAAGCACCTTCAAGACTAACAACATTTGTGAGTCTTTCTGAAGAAGTGACTGCGGTGACTCACAGAAGCTCATCCCCTGCCACAAATTTTGGAAGCCTTCAGGGTGCTGCTGGACTCTGGCTCTTTTTAAAGCCTCAGCTTAGCTTACTTTCTCAATATAAAATGCATCATTTATAACCAGGGGTCGTTTCGTAGAAAAAGAGCTAGGGGGACTCATTAGCATAACTCATTTGCATATGCCACACCCCCTGAAGTCACCGGAAGTGTGTCATAAGACCACACCCCCTGACATCACCGGAAGTGTGTCATATGGCCACACAACCTGCCCTCAATGGTCCCGGTCGCCGCCGGCGGCCTTGCAGCTCCACTGCCGAGCCCCATGAGGGGCCCGGCGGTGGACCTGCAAGGCCGGCGGGAGTACAAGGAAGCCCCGCGAAGGCCCTCCCTGGCCCCAGGCAGGCAGGGGTGGGGAGAGGCAGGGAGGAAGCAACTTACCCTCCCTCTTCTCCTGCCTCCTCCTGGCTGAATGAGGTCCGGAAGCGGGGCGGCCGGAAGCAGGGGGCGGGGCTTCGTCGTGTGCCCCGCCCCCCGTACCTCACCCGGGGGAACTGCGATCCCCCGCGATTCCCCCCGAAATGTCCTCTGTTTATAACTCCGGTAAGATACCCAATGCTTGGTGTATTCATGACACCGGAGAGCATCATTTTCTGCAAACAGAATTGTGGGTACCCCAAATGCCAAAGCGCAAGACATGCATGCAGCCTGCTGCGGCCTCTGCCACCTCAGCGAATGTATCTTAGAGAGGCCGAGAAAAATAAGAGTGGAAAGGGGAAAACTCAAACCTTGTTGAAAAGTAAATAAAGTGTGTTCTCCGTCTTTCTGCGTTATACCTCTGAGGATGCCAGTCACAGCTACTGGCGAAACGTCAGGTCCTACAATGCCAAGACCACGGCCAGACAGCCCGGGAAATCTACAACAGCTAATCCAGTATTCCTCATATAACTTTCAGTATTCTAATACACTATTCTGAAAAAGAAATACACTGAAATACAGAGGATGTATAGTCCCTCTGTATACGTGAGGGCATATTCAGCCCGTCTATAAGTTTGAACCTCACCTCCCATTCCACTGTATTTGAAAAAGTGTGCATGCACACGAAAGCTCATCCCTTGAATAAACCTTTCTTGGTCTTCAAGGTGCCTGATTGGACTCTAAATTTGCTCTACTGCTTCAGACCAACACAGCTGACTGCCTGGATCTAGCTGGATCCAAGTCTGCTGGCACCTAAGAGACCAACAAGATTTTCGGGGCAGGAGCTTTTGAGGAGCAAACCTGTCTTGTTGGTCTCGGAGATGCTACTGGACGCAAATCTAGGTGATTCCTCCAACTAATGCTCTAAGCAAATGTTGACCTGCAATATCCTGCGTTGGTGATTGCTGCAGATTTCAGGTGCAAGTGTTTGTATAAATAAGGACCACTGTGTCCCATTCGGAGCTGTATCTATTCTGGGTACGTGTGGGGCTGCGGGGGCAGCTCTTCAGGCATTTGTCCTGAGACATTGATGACTGGGTGGGCTTCTTTCTCTCTTGTTTCCTCAAAGGCGCAACCAGGGCCCGGGGGCACAGGAGAACACCCGCAAGGTCCAGAAGTTACCCAACTTGTCTCCCCAGGCCATCCGGCACCTCTGGATCCGCACCGCGCTCTTCGAGAAAGTCCTGGACAAAATCGTGCACCACTTGGTGGAAAACAGCAGGTGGGGCTCCTTCCTTCTCTCTGTTGGGATGGCTGATCCGCACAACTGGGTTGGTGCATTGAAACCATAGTCCTCCCAGGGACCTTCAGGGTGCAACGATGGAATTCACTTGGAATTCACTGCCACAGGAGGTGGTGGCGGCTACAAGCATGGACGGCTTCAAAAGGGAATTAGATAAGCATATGGATGAGCAGAGGTCCATCGGTGGGTATTAGCCACAAGGTATAGATAGGGACTCTGGGGCAAGTGATGCTCTGTCTTCTTGGTGCTTGGGGGAGGGGGTCAACAGTGGGGGGGCTTCTAGTGTCCTGGCCCCACTGCTGGACCTCCTGATGGCACCTGGTATTTCTGGCCACTGTGTGACACAGAGTGTTGGACTGGAGGGGCCTTTGGCCTGATCCAACATTGGCATCTCTTATGTTCTTTTGTTCTTATGTTCTTATGATGCTGCCCACTTAATCTCCCCTTTACTGGCCACATGTTTACTCCGTGCTGCCCCGTCTTTTCTCAGGAATGAATGGGAGGCAGAGAGCTGTAAAATATTTTCGCCCTGGGGAGAAGCGAGAGGTTCCTCTTGCAGCCGAGTAGAGTTTCCGTGTCCTGCTGCCTCAGCTAGGACGTGGGTTCAGCTCTGGCTAGACTGACTGCAGCAGTTCATGTAAAGCGAACCTGATCGAAGGAAAACTTCACTCCAGTTTGTCAGTCGTTAATTTCCAAGGTGCTTCAGCTGTTTGTATCAACAGACACTGATGGGTTTAGCCTGTCCCGATTCAGGCTCTGAGTTTTTCATAGCCAATTGGCAGGGCAGTCCTTAGCATATTTGGCAGCAGGTTTCGGGCAGCTCCCAGGGCAGACGTCCCAAATCGGGGTCTTTGTCGGGCTTCACTCTCCACGTTTCAGCACCGCACAAGATTGAAATCCCTGTCTGGCTCTTGAAAAACAGAGTCTTCGTATGCCTCCCATGCGGCACACCTCTGTTTAGAAGTTGCAGTCTGCTTTTTGAGAAAGAGTGACAACGGGTTGATGTGGTGAGATAATAAAGAGATGCCTTCACATTCTTTTCTGGTGTACTTGGCCAGCGATGAGAAACAGATATTTCCCCCTCAAAATGAGGATGTTTTGTGTTTGGGGGAATTTATTTCCAAACACTCATGGCTACAGGAGGAGTTTTAAGACCCTCGGTAGCTGCCTCATTCCCCTCCATTGATGAAGATGGCAAATCCATCTTGTTTGCCTGTGTTGTGCTGTTACTATTTGGGGGGGGTGCAACATGGCCTGGTGGATCCCCCCCCAAAATAGTAACACAGGCAAACAAGATAGATTTGCCATCTTCATCTGAACCCTGGGAAGTATTTCCTGGATCTGTCAGTTGATTTTGAAGGCCATATCTGAAGAAGTGAGCAGTGACTTAGGAAAGCTCCTACCCTGCCACATATTTTGTTAGTCTTTACGGTGCTCCTGGGCAAGTGAAGCTCTATATTCTTGGTACTTAGGGGGGGGGAGGCAACAGTGGGAGGGCTCCTAGTGTACTGGCCCCACTGCTGGACCTCCTGAGGGCAGCTGGTATTTTTGACCACTGTGTGACACAGAATGTTGGGCTGGATGGGCCATTGGCCTGACCCAGTATTGGATTCTCTTATGTTCTTATGTCTGGGGCAAGGGTTGCTCTGTATTCTTGGTGCTTGGGGGGGGGGCAACAGAGGGAGGGCTTCTAGTGTCCTGGCCCCACTGCTGGACCTCCTGATGGCACCTGGTATTTTTGGCCACTGTGTGACAGACTGTTGGACTGGATGGGCCTTTGGCCTGATCCAACATTGGCATCTCTTATGTTCTCATAGGAACTCTCAGGCTGGGGCAAGGGATGCTCTGTATTCTTGGTGCTTGGGTGGGCGGGGGTAACAGTGGGAGGGCTTCTAGTGTCCTGGCCCCACTGCTGGACCTCCTGATGGCAACTAGTATTTCTGGCCACTGTGTGACAGAGTGTTGGACTGGATGGGCCGTTGGCCCGATCCAGCATTGGCTTCTCTTATGTTCTTCTATGGAGCAGAGGTCCATCAGTGGCTGTTAGCCACAAGGTATAGATAGGAACTCTCGGTCTGGGGCCAGTGATGCTCTGTTATCTTGGTGCTTGGGGGGGGGCGCAACAGTGGGAGGGCTCCTAGTGTCCTGGCCCCACTGCTGGACCTCCTGACGGCCCCTGGTATTTTTGGCCACTGTGTGACAGAGTGTTGGACTGGATGGGCCATTGGCCTGATCCAGCATTGGCTTCTCTTATGACTCTTGCACTTTTCTAAATCTTACCCCGACACACAAGTAAGGAGCCTGAAGTCTGGATTTTAACAACCACCAAAAGAGGACAGGGGAAAAGAAGGAGGCTGGTGAAGAAGGAAGGGAAATAACTTATTTGAGTTAACGGTTTTACTTAAAATAAAGCACAAGTCTTTTTATTAGGCAAGAATTTGGTACGTAAGTGCAGATGCTAATTATTCCTACAATTACAGAAAAAACATGTGCAATAAAGATCAGGTCTTTTGACATTTCTCAAACCTAGCTTAAATAAGGCAATTTGGCTTTTAGCTGATGGGCAGAATGCTATGCAGAGTTTTGAAGCCCACGCAAAGAGACGTCTCACCTAAGATCTCCTTGGACTGGAAGACACCCACAGAAAGCCTCTTTAGCTTTTTATAGAGAAGGTGATGGTTAGGAGTCTGTCTAAGTCTTTCTAACTTTTCAATCTGATTGTCCTCTGAAAAAGATTCAGAGTGATTAATAAAGATAAGCCACAGGTGGACTTGGAATACCTCTTGATAGCTCTCATTAAATTCTCAAAGCAAAGTTATAAGGCTAAACTTTGCACTTGTTGGCCCTGCTGGTGGACCTCCTGATGGCACCTGGGTTTTGGCCACTGCATGACATTGCCCTGACCCAACAGGGCTTCTCTATTCTTTCTTCAGCAAAACTACGGAACTGTCTGTTGGGTGTCAGGGTGGTTTTATACTTTACCTGTCCAGCTGCTGAACCCTACAGAGGATATGAAAGTGATATATGATTAACATAAATACCTATGAACAAAGTTTGAATCCAGTGGCATTTTTAAGATCAACAGAGTTTTATTCAGGATATAAGCTTTTGTGTGCATGCGCACTTCGTCAGATATTATGAAGTGGAAGTTACCAGTCCATACATATATGTAGAGAGGGTGAACAGAAAATTAGCATACAACATGATGAAGATGTTTAACAGATTGAAGGACCAAACAGGAATAACAAGCTTAGTTTATATGGTTACTGTTTGTTTGGGTTTAATTCCAGGGGAAAACATAGTGAAGGAAATAAATAAGTAAAAGTCAGAGATTGATGGTCAGCTGTGTCCTTCATTATGGAATGCTGAGGGTAATTAACAAAGTCCCTGCCATTACGCTCCATTCGTCTCCTCTCAAGCATGGAGGTGACCTTACGGCATCTTCTTTTTTGAAGTGGGGCAATTGGCTGTGTAGAGTTATCTCCCCTGTCCCCAAACCAGAGAAATACGTTCTACCATTCCAAATTAATTACATTCTCCTATACAGTACATTACATTACAATCTAATCTACTATTCCAAATAAGAAATAAAATAAAATAAAGAGGCTGTACATTGCAATCTAATCTACTATTCCAAATAAGAAATAAAATAAAATAAAGAGGATGTATGTCCCTTCTGGTGAGAATACACTTCATTTCATTTTGGCTGCGATCACACACACTCAATAATCCACCAGTTCACACAGTAAAAATCCCGTTTGAACGTGCATTTAAAGTGGATTATTGAGTGTGTGTGATTGCAGCATTTATTTCTTATTTGGAATAGTAGTTGCTTCAGACCAACACGGTTACCCACCTGAATCTATGAATACCTGTGGTTAATATCATGAAGATGCAGCATCGTTTTTGGATTCCTTTCCGTTCCTGCTGGCTTCCTGCCTTCTAAACCCTCCGTGCCTCTCTCTCTCTGTTCCCAGCAAATACTACGAGAAAGAAGCCCTGCTAATGGATCCTGTCGATGGGCCGATTCTCGCCTCTCTTCTAGGTTTGTGGATCCTTTCTAAACTTTGTAACTAGAAATGTGCTCCTCTCTAGCTGCCTTCTGCCGAGTCAGCTCTGGGCCTCTTGAGCCCGGTCTTGTCCCCTCTCACCAGCTGTGGCCTTCCAGCGTCTCAGGCAGCCGATGAGGGCCTTTGCCAGCCCCTGAGGGCCCAGGTCACTTCTTGCACGAAGTTGCTGAGGGCTGAGCTAGGACCCTCCTGTGTGCCAAATGGATGCCTTTCCTAGGAGCCAGCCTTCAGAACACCACAGCTGACTGGCCTCGCTCATAATGAGTGGGTGCCGGGGAAGAAGCAGGCCTTCAGGCTACACAGAACTCTACTTTGACAGGAGACATTTGCAGCTGCAAAAGAAGGAGAGGGAAAGGGGGAGGCGAGTGGGGAACCTGCTGGATGGAGCCAGGCTGGCAGCGTTTCTGGAGGGTTGTCGTGGGACTCGCTTCCCTTCCTCTGGAAGGAAACGTTTTCTGAGGGAGTGATGGGGGGTGGGGCTAAAGGCAGCCTGGTGGGAGCTCTTGGTGGCCCCGGGAGAGTGAAAGCAGGCCGAGAGCCAGTTTAGTGTAGTGGTTAAGTGCACGGACTCCAGTCTGGGAGAACTGGGTTTGATTCCCCACTCCTCCACTCGCACCTGGCTGGATGACCTTAGGCAAGCCATAGTTCTGATAAGAGCTGTTCTCTCAAGGGCAGTCCTTTGGAGAGCTCTCTCAGCCCCACCCACCTCACAGGGTGTCTGTTTGTGGGGAGGGGAAGGGAAAGGAGTTTGTAAGCCACTCTGAGATTCCTTTGGGTAGTGAAGGGGGGTATTGATCCAATCTCTTCTCTTCTTCCTCTTCTTCTTTTTGCTGTTCTTTTTGAAGGCGGGGCCTGGGGGCAAATGCAGTCCCTGCTCAGTCGCTTTCTGGGCTGCATCCTGTTTCCCTCAGAGAGCTGCAGTTGGAAAGTGTGCAGGGTGAGGCCCACTCCCTCAGCCCAGACCGCACTTTCTCAAGGTCCCCAACCTCTTGGACAGGAGTGTCAAACATGCGGCCCGGGGGCCAGATGAGGCCCCCGGAGGGCTTCTCTCAGGCCCGCAGTGAAACTGGCTGCCTTCTGCTGCTGCTTCTTCCAGTTCTGCTGCTGCTGCGTCATCGTAGGTTTGCAGCTTACAGAGACACACCTGAACAGCATACTCAAGATGGCAACAGCACAGGCATTTTGATGCCATCACTCAGAGCAAGAGGTGTCAGTTATCAGACACTGTTAAATAGACAAAGTATCGCAAGAGTGCTGATGTTTTATGCGTGTTTTTATTTTAAGTTAAAAAACCCCTTTGTGTTTGTGTCCTTTATAAAGTTGATATCTCCGCTAACTGGCATTACCTTTCATGACACAGATGGCCCGGCTCAGCAAGGTCTCATTTAGGTCAGATCCGGCCCTCGTAACAAACGAGTTCGACACCCCTGCTCTTGGAGCGCCCCAGTCAGTTGGCGCTTCTCGTATTCCGGAGCCACCAGACGCTGCCAGTTGGGTTGGGCTTGGGCCAGAGGCGTGAGTGTTTGTGCGTGTCTGAGCAGGCCCTGGCGGCCCTTCCCTTCCTGACCCACGCTCTTCCCCTCCCTCACGCAGAGGGACCCTGTGCCCTGGAGTACACCAAGATGAAAACGGCCGATCACTTCTGGACCGACCCTTCGGCGGACGAGCTCGTGCAGCGCCACCGGATCCACAGCTCCCACTGTCGCCAGGACTCACCAACCAAGCGCCCCGCTCTTTGTGTAGGTGGTGGGTGGGGGAACCAAGGAAGAGGCTGGGGGAGGGAGGGAGGGAGGGACTGATGGTATTCTGGGCCCAGCTGGATCAGAGCTGCAGGATCCAGGCCTCGGGTGGCCTTCAGCTTAACTGTGCACGTAACCCTGAGGTGAGGCCAGTAGCCCTCCTCACCTGGATTCTCCTGGTTCGTTTCTATTTTGCTGCTGTCCTGTGAGCGTGATGGGGGCCATTGTGGGTCAGAAGAAGAGGAGGAGGAGGAGGAGAGATAGGAAGACTCCTCATGACCACCTGGACAGAGCCAGGAGCCAGGGTCCCCTTCTGTAGAGCGGGGTCCCCAGAGGGGTGCCTGTGGGTTGCTCTGGTGCCCACCAACATCTTTCCTGGAGCCCACCAAGTATTTTTCAGAAAGTGGGTGGGGCCAGGTGGGGCTTTTGCCCAGGAGGGCTCCTGATTGGCCACTGGAGATATGATTGACTGTGTGGCTTTGTAACAACATCGCTTTCTCAGTAGCTGCCACCACAGCACAGGGAGCCAGTTTGGTGTCGTGGTTAAGTGGGCGGACTCTGATCTGGGAGAGCCGGGTTTGATTCCCCCACTCCTCCTCCACTCGCAGCTGCTGGATGGCCTTGGGCAAGCCGTAGTTCTGTCAGTGCTGTTCTCTCAAGGACAGTTCTGTAAAGAGTTCTCTGAGCCCCACCGACCTCACGGGGTGTCTGTTGTGGGGAGGGGGAGGGAGAGGAGTTTGTAAGCCGCTCTGAGACTCCGAGTGAAGGGCAGGGTATACATGCAATCTCTTCTTCTTCTTCTTCTTCTCCTCCTCCTCCTCCTCCTCCTCCTCC